CCCCAAAACCCCAAAACCCCAAAACCCCAAAACCCCAAAACCCCAATATTACTTAGTATATTGATTAATGGAAGTATTTAAAGTTATGCCCGTCTATTTATATCTGAGAGGGACACTTTTCTCCTTCTTCAGCTTATTCTTTGGCCTTGGCAGCCTCTTACTTTTCTCTTCAGCTTCTATTTGAGACACAGAGCTTTCACTTTCAGATGAAGACTCCTCCTTCTCAAGTTCTTCAATGTCGAATCATTCCAGATCGATGAATGTATGGGTAAGACTGTGCTTGAACCTTGATGCAGCCCTGCTTAAATCTACTTTAGTGCGGTCACTTGGCCGCAAACTACGTTTCTTCCTGAATTTGTTCTATTCAAGAGTTGACAAAAAGGCATTTTAATGGCAGCCTGATTGGAATAAACCTTGCAAATAACTAAGCTATGATTTAATATCTTCAACATGGCAAATGAACCCCAAAGCCAAGCTTTATGCCCTCTTTGATTTAATACTAAGCTGGTTGGCTTAGTTTTGATAAGCTCTAGTCTCTGCAATGCATACAACGATTTGAGTTTTAGGCATAATAACTTACCTTCAGAGTAGTAGTGATCCCTAATGTGTTCTTTGCAACACTCTATAAGATGATATTACTCATTGAAGCGAAGAATTTGGATTATTTTGATAGAGCTTAAAATCTTATGACTTAGATAATTTTTAAGCTCTAAAGTTCTCATTTAGCGTTTGTTTGTCAAAAGTTTTATCATAATTTAACTGCTCAAAAGTATATTAAATACTTCAGAGGTCAATTATGTATATCTAACTCTTTTCAAAGAAGAGAATAAGTGATCTCAGTGAGCCAAAGTGGCTCTTCTACTTTAAGAAATTCTTTTAAACTGGAATGCCTAGTCAAAGCTACGATACATACTGAGTTAACATTTGCTGATGAATTTGATTTCTTCGGTACGATTCTTCGGCTATAATCATTGTTAGACTCAGGTTGCATGAAAGTAAACCTCTGGCATTCAAAATTAAACAAGGATCAGCCTCATTTCTGAGACTAAGAGGCATAAATAAAGGTTCATACTAGAAAGCAGTAAACCAGCTTTCACTAGTTCAGAGTTTTGTTGGCCAGCAGAGGTTTCTAACTAAGCCATAATATTCCCCAAGTGCTCCGAAATCTATGGCTTGAATTATTCTGAGCCATAGTATATAGCTTGCTTAGAATGGATAGCAAAAAATATCTCAGGCTGTCTGGGCATGCATAAAATGAGAGTTTTCACATCAACCTGCAAATAAAATTGAAAAAAATTAGGTTTATCAAATTTGTGGATTTTTATAATTTTTATTCCAAACTTAGGTTTTCAAAAATGCAACTATTTCCAGAAATCTATTAAGCGCCAAGGGAATGTGTCAATAGAAAGCACTTTCCAGGTCGAGAAAATCTTGAGCCAACAAAGATATTTACCTAAGTTTGGATCTGTTGCTAAAATCAAGCTCCTTTATCTTGGTCTGGCTCTTCCGAGGTTTCATCTTCATTTCTTGTTTATCGTCTTCTGGCTTACTCTAAATATAAATTTGCCTCCAAATTACGATCTTTATTTGAAATTTTTCAAATTGCTTCGTCCCCATTGTAGAAGACCTCTTTTGAAAGGTCTTAATGTTCTTCGATGATGAGTCCTGACTTGTCCCAAAATCAGGAGAGTGCTTATAGTCTTCCTCAGAGCCTTGATTGGACTCAGACTCTCCCATTGAATTAAACTGACTGAACATATTAGACCCAGAGTTCTTCTTTGAAACATTTCTGGATGACATTTTTCGTGAGGAGTCCTTTTTAGTAGGCCTCTTTAAAATATCTAAAATTTATCATACACTTGAGTACCTGGGGACTTCCTCTTGTTTATATGACGAGAACTGATCTTTATGTTTCTAAATATCAGATAAAAACTAATACTTCCGGTTTGGTGGCCTCTGGCTAGTCCTCTTCATACTTTCTAGCTTAAGTTTAGGCACCATGCTGCTACTATGACCTTGTTTGCAAAAGCTCTTGATCTTGGACTGGAGCCTAGAGATATCCTAATGAATTTACCTGCCAATAACCTTGTCATCGAATGTAGTCTTAGTTTTAAATTTCGTAGTAAGCTATAAGATTTCCTAACATTGGGGATACCTTCTTCATGATTTTGTCCAAGTTTTGAATCTTAGAATGCTTCTTTAATGTAAACTCATTCAGGATGTCAAAAGCACTCTTATTTCTTAGGCCTCTGCTTCTTTGGCTTAAGAGTGATAGGACTTGCCTTGACTTTCGTGTTATTTTGAGTTGTATTAAGAGTTGCCATATTGGAAAGATTCCTCTTAGGCAACTTCTTCTTGCGGATAACAAAATCTGGACTTTTTACCCTCTTCATAGTCAAATTTTCTTCTGGTTTGATAAGTTTCCTCGGCTCAAGAGGAATTCTCTGCCGGATTTTACCATTCTGCCCTCTAAATATTAAACCGAATTCTTACTTTATAGGAGAAGGAGTTTTTATTTTCCTTAAGTTAATAATTCTATTTGTCCTTCTGCCCACTATTCATGCTCATATTCCCTGTATCTCCCATTGCTGGGTGTCTAAGCCAGATGAAGCCACTCGAAGTATTGAGATGGATAACTTAAGGAAATTCGGCCATAAATGAAATTACATGTAAAAACCTTCCTGCATTTCCCAAATTTGTGCAAAACTTACTCCTTAAAGTTCTTGATCATCTGCTGTGTCTGGTTGAAGAAAGTTAGCAATTGTGTTCGATTAAGAGTTTTTGCTTCATCGATCATTTTATTTGTTATTAAGGATATATGTCAGAGCTTCAGTGATCTCTGCATCTTCTGGACCTTGCTCCTGACCGTATTTTTCTCGCAGAGAATTCATTTGGTTCCTGATAACAGGACTTTCACAGTACTGTTTTGAGACATCAGAGTCTCTAAAGTCACTGAGGCCTGACAAATAGCCTGAGTTCATTGGGCTTTGTCATTCGCGATTCTCGGTGGCTAGAGGTAGCGGGGGAGGACTTTGTGAAAAAGCATTATTCCGACCAATTTTCTGGAAATGATTGGGATGTTTTCCAGAATGATTTCCTTCTTCTTTGCCTTTTTGTCTGAAAAGCATCGATCTTTTCCTATAACCCAAGGTTGAGAAGTTATTATATGGGATTAAATAAAACGAGAATCTGTATCTTTAAAACTAGTCAGATTTTTATTAAAACCCCACTTGATTTTGTTCTTGTCGATCGGCTTTAATTTTCGCATTTTCTGTGGGTTCAGCTGGAGGCCAGAAAGGGGCTTATCCTTGTTTAGGCTCCCTCTTTCCTGTCTAATATTCATTATTGCTGTATTATTAATTTTCAATTGAAAATAATATAGCTGGGGTTTTGGGGTTTTGGGGTTTTGGGGTTTTGGGGTTTTGGGGTTTTGGGG